ACAATATGCCCACTTGCAATTTCTAAGGCCTGTTCTTGTGAGAAACCCTCAACTGCTGAGAATTAATGATCCTCAATGTTTACAGTCAATATGTTTTTAAAATGTTCTTTCATCTAAATATAGAGACTCTCTGAATCATTGTCTTATTTCTAAAGTTAAAAATATAAATGCTCTGAGTAACTGTTAATAACATGAAGTGAGTGCAAATAACCCAGCTCCAGAGAGAAGAAATATTCTTAGTGCTGAGAATTTAATAAAATTAATGATGAAATAATTCATGTGTGGCCACAGGATGAACAAAGGACGTCACTAGCTTCAGCACCGTTATGTTTCATGAGGGTACCATGATGACAAGATACACCACAGTAGCAAAGCAGACCTAGATGACAGGTGGCAGCTGGCACCGTTTTATGTTTATGTTTAATATATAATACTCCTGCCGGACATTCCATATCCCTTTTTTCACCAAATGAACACCAGGGTACGCTCTTCAGAGATGTTGCCATAATTCTTTCTAGTATCCCATTTTCCCTTAATTTTTTACCTCAGATTTTTAAGTGTCTGTGAATTATTCCTCTTTCTCAGTCCATCAGTTGAAAGGGAAATGCTGTCTGAAGATCAGTTTGGGATGAACAGGTAATAAAGGCTACAGCAACATTTCAATAGCATAAGACATTTCAGGAGTAACCAGTGGTCCTGTGGGGACTTGGCAGGCACAGAAAAGACTTCTGGGAAACTAGAGTTGGCTTGTGGGTCAGGAGAGGGGAGAGGACCTACGGTTAAACCAAGAGGGCAGGGGCTGGGATGAGGGTCTGACCAGCTCTCCAGGGAGCTGGTTGGACAAAGTCACCAGGGGTTCAGAAAAGGGGTAAAATAATTATTCAATTGAATTAGAAGGCTAAACAGTTTATTAGAGATTGTTGATTTATACATATAAAGCTTTCACACATGAATTTTTCTGAGCCTTGAAAAACATTGACTGAAAGAGTGATTTTCTGACTAGGAGCGGATTCTCAGGGTTTACGAGGCTACGAAGAAGCACATGGTAATTCCACAGCAGTTCACCAGGGAGTTTGCATCAAGGTCTTTCAACATTAGGGTCAAATCACAATCAGTTGTTATCCCTGAGAGAAATCTTGCTCTAGAATTTTTCCAAACATGATTAAGTAGCACAATTAACAAAGTCTCAGGATAATGGCCATAGATTGTTCTCTCTTGCTGTTGCTACCCTTCAGTCTCCACAGTTTTTTTGTAAGTCTAGCTGGAGGGTTTTAAACTAAAGCACTTAATGATATTGGAAAATGACACGAACCCACTCAGTTTAAGCCAGAGATTCTCATCAGCGAGGACGATGCTGTCGTTGACTAAAGGCCTAATGTGTTCCATGAACTGCATTAGACACTTTGTAAGAAATTTCCCCTTTACCCACAATAGCCCAAGGAGATGGGTATTATTTTTTCCACTAAATAATTTGATATTATCTAGATCTATAGAGCACTGAAAAGGATGATATGTTTCAGAACAGTAGGAAGAGCATGGAAAAAATAAGGACTTTCTAGGTCCTTCTGGCCATGACCAGCAAATGAGCATCTATCAAAAGACTGAATGGTGTAATATCTGTTGGCAGTCGACAGGCTAAAGACGGTGAGGAATATGAAAAAGTATAACTAGTTTATAAGGAAATTAGGAAACACATCCATAAAGAACCAGAGAAGATTCCAGGTTGAAATAAAAAAAACTTAAAGGGAAAACAAAAGCACAAAACTGCGACATTCATTTTTGTATCTTCGGCACAAAGTTTGTAGTAGGAACTCAGTAAATGTTCAATTATTAAATAAATGAATGAAATCAGTCAACCAACGAACCAAATGCTAGATTGTGCGGCATTGACTTTAAGAATCGAAAAAGTCTAGAGAAAAAAATTCATAATAGACTTGGGTAGTAGCAAGACTTCCTGAATAAAGTGAGCTAGGCCTAGAAGAATTGGAAATATTTGAATCGTGAAGGAAAACTGAATTCCCACCGGGCAGAAGGCTACAACTCACAGGCCAAACAGCCTTCTCCTCGGCCGCCTTTGCAGCTCCAGCTCCAGCTCCCAGCTGTCCTCCGCTGCTGCCGCCTCACTGGCGTTTGCCCTCAGCTCATCTGCTCTGTTCTTATTTGCCCTCCTCTTGAGCTCTGTCCAGCTAGTTCTCAGAATGCCCTGAAGTTGGCATCTTTGGATTAATCAGTAGTGCCTCTGTCCTTTGATGTGGAGTGGAAAAACAAACAGTATTTGTCCTATGGACGAATCTAGGCTTTTGCGAGCAAAGCAATAAATTATTCTAAATGAGGCAGAAATTATGACGAATATCTCCCTTTCCCAAACAGCTGTGGAGAGGGCTTCCCATGGAAATTTTGGCATTAGGGAGACCCTCTCAAGACTTCCAGAAAGACATTCCTAGCAGGTCCTCACAACAATCTTTCAATTCCCCTCGTGCTTCAACCCCCAAATAAAGGCCAATATAAACCCAGCCTCCTCTGACTTTGGCCACTGGGGCTCAACACGAAACCTTAGGGCCTGCCATACACTCAGGTTTTGTTTCCCAGGCATCAGATAGGCATCTTCTAGCTCATGTTTCCTGAATTGCTGCCAGCTTGGCTTCTGCCAGAGATTCCTGGAGTCAGAGTCACTTTGTAATTCGTCTCATGATAGGTAAAGGCTTTCCCCCGATCAGAGCCGTGCACTGGTGGAGTTTTTAGAAAACTCTATATCTCTGGTTGTGGGAAAAAAATGTTGAGTGTGGTATTCTTCATCTGACTGATTGCTTTTTTACTCTGAAAAAGGCTCCTAGGACCGTGCCATTGTGTTTCAGAGCCTTGTCCTCTTTGATTCTGTTTTTCAGGAACAATATGAGATGCTAGGAGCCATGCTCAGTGGCAGACCTGCTTTTCTAAAATGTAGCTCAATTTTGTAGTGAAAAGATTGGTTTCACTTTGCACAGGCTTGAGAGGCTGCCTCTGTGTGGTTACTGCCCTCCGGAGCCAGCAGCACCGTCCTTGATGGAAAAGACGAGCTACTGCCTGTTATCTCATGAAAAAGACAACTGCAAACTCTGTCAGTATACAGTGCCTCGTGTTTCCAAAACAGTGTTCCAGCCCTCCAAGAGCAAGGAAGTGCACAGAAGATTCTAAGAAAGGAAGGACAGGGCATGAAAGTATAACTAGTGTGAGAAGGAGTCAGAGGGAGGCCAAATCCTGCCCCGGGCAGTACAGCCTTGAGGTTCCAGCGCCAGTCTTTAATAAAAGACTTTCTTGTGAGGGCTGGAAGATTTTTTCCCCCGAGTTGTAAAAAAACCTGGGTCTATGAATCCAATGTTTTGGTGGCAAAAGTCTTGACTTTTTTTATATAATATTTTTTTTAAAAACCCCACCCTAAAATAGGAACAGAAATAGAACAATAATGCTGGAAAAGGTTTTGTGGATCTGAGGGAAATATTCTCGATTACCAAGATCAGAGCATCCACGTGTGTTGATTACACAACTATGGCTGATCTCACTTCCTGTGTGGGACATTTTTTCCTGGCGAAAGTGGGAAAAACAAGTCCCCCACTTGATAGGCCTGCTTTCCCCGAAGTTACCAGACTGCCCACGTGACAGCCGTCGGCACATGCCAGCCCTCCACCGAAGAAGGAGCAGGTTCAGGACCTGGCACCGTGCAGCCGAGTGGCACTGCTCCCAGAACACTCATCCAATAAAGAGCCATTGTGGGATCTGGACCCTTCAACGTACAGGACAAACGACCAAAATGAAAAGCACAATGCCCGTGAGTGGGCCCAGAAACTTGAATGCAGTGGTAATCACTTCCTTAGTGTACGTCCCATTATTTTTCATGGGACTTCATTCTGTCATTCAGCCCTTGCCTAGTGTAATAGTACAGATTTCCTTTATCGGTTGATAAGTGAGAATGATTACGGTGATAACCATCAAGCAACATAGGTTACTAGCATCAGTGGGGAAGAGAAGTGGAAAATTGTCAGGGGAGTGGAAAGGGACTGGCATGCAACAGGGAGAGACAAAAACCAGTGAAAAGAGAGGGAAGTGCTGATTCTCCGTGTGTGATCAGTGCCACTGCAGTTCAGTTACTGAGGAATCTGAGACTGTGTCTAACGGTGTAAGAAACTAAATCAGGCCTAGGGCTTCAAAATAGCTACAATTTCTATGTGGGATGAAGGCTGAGGCAATGAAGTGGGGCTGGAGGAGGGGGAAGGTCCAGGTTAAGGGCATCTCCTGTGCAACTGACACCCATTTGTGAGCTCCAGGTCCCACAGGCTGTAGAGCTAGTGCTTAGATCCAAATACTGAGGGCCTGGGAGGAGTCAGGGTGCTAATTCTGGCTGAACCATAGTTTCCATCTGGGTGACCTGGAGTGACTCTTTATACAACAGCCAACCTCACTACAAAAAAAAAAAAAAAAAGAAGATGCCGCTCTTAGCTAAGCTTTCTCAAATGAATAAATAGGAGGGGACGGTAGAATTAGACTCCATTGACCAAATGGAAAATGCTCTTTCAGTGCTGGACCAATTTTACAATATTCCATGCTCCTTTGTTTTAGGACCAGGTTTTTCTATCTCTAAGCCAATTAAATTTTTAGCTAATAGTTTTGACCAGAAACATGGGCTGTCGCAAATAACTCTCTAGACAAATAACTAGCAACAGACATACATCTATATACACGTACCATTTTAATAAAAACATTCCCATATCTTTGAAAAAATACAAATATTTCCACAAAAAGTCCATTTGATTTAATGTCCAGTGATTATTTTTTCATTCGACTATTTGGCAAATGCAGTTCTACCACTCTAAGTAATTTATAATGATGACAGATTATTTTAAATATGTGCCAGTAGTTTCTTTTAATTTATGACGTTATGCCTTGGTAGTGGGTAGATTGTATCTGGTTGAAAATACAAATAAATATTTCATCCAGAATCAAGTTCTCTCATGTTATCAACTCACCAGAATTAAGCAAAATGATAGATTTGAGGCACACAAACTCCTCTCCCTGCAGATTCATCATACGGAACCGAGACGTTGTAGCCAGCAACATGTCAAAGATCTCCACCATGCCCTCTACACATTTCCCCTGGTTCCTATGAAAACACAGCCCAAAAAAAAGGGTTAAAGGACAGAAAAGCTTCCACAAGACATGATAAAGTCATAAAAATCTACTGCCTCCAAATCAGTAACAAAAACTGCAGCTCATTCTCTTCAGAGAGCATGAACATTCATTTGAATTCTAGAAGGCAAGACAAAAAATGGTTTTCCATCAATAAAATATTCTCATTTCAGATTCTTAGAAGAGATGTTCTGTTCAATCCCCAAGTCTGCCATGTTAAAAATATGAAGTTCTTCAACCTGCAGGTAATTGAAAATGATTAGGATTCAGGTAAATGATTTTTCTAATAAATGTTTATTAATCTGTATTCTGGGCATTGTGATAGTTATGGAAATAAAAACAGGGCCTCTATTCTCAAGATGCTCATGGCCTTTGACTAATAGAACATGTCCCAAAAGATGTGTTTCAAGGTGATTTTGAAGTACAAGAAAAACTACAGTAACCATGGATGGTTGCGCTGCGCCCATCGGTGCTGCAGAGGATGGTAGGTAAGAATATTCCTAGGAGGTGGCATTTGAGTTGACACTTTAAGAGAATGTAGGATTTCATCAAGCAGAGGTGTGGACACATCCTTGAAAGAGGATTCTAAACATGGAAAGAAAGAGCAGCATGAAAGAACATGGAACAGTGAGTTGGAGGTGAGGAGAGAGGAGATGAATCTGGAAAAATAGGAAAATTTCAGGTGATCAAGGATGTCCTACATCACTATAAAAAGTTCAGGTTTTTTTCCTTGGCATCAGGAGTTTAAAGTTAGTAGCTGCACCTATTAAATAAGCAAAGCCAAAGGTTCATAATATGTAATATTTAAAAATGCAGGTGTCAGTATCTTTTTATAGAATTACTACAGAATTTACATGATACTGCATGTGAAAGTAATTCATTCAATTTTTGTTCACAAGTTGAAATTTGGGCATGATGTGTTTGAGGCGGTCAGGAAAAAGTTAAAATAGTCTATGCACATGCAAACATATTTGTGAAATGTATAAACATTTAAACATGAACACTAAATGCATTGTTTTGTAGCTTGTTTTGGTTTTAAATAATAGATCTTGGAGTACTTCATCGAATGCTTTTAACAGCTGAACAAGATGCTATAATTTCCTTAACCATCTTTATTTAATCTTTATTGATTGACATTTAGTTTGATTTCAAGTATTTTGCTGTTACAAACATTCCATTCAATGACTATCCTTATGTTTATGTCTTTGGACACATTTACAGGTAGCTATAGAAAAAATTCCTAGAAGTAGAATTGCTAGATCAAAGAACTTACGTGTTTTTAATTTTGATAGATAGTTCAAACATTGCTTTCAAAGAGCTTATACCAACAGACAGTTGTTGGTGGCATATATTGGTATAAGCTTTCTTTGAGCTACCTGTTCTTGTCTTTTGCCCATATTTTTCTATTGGGTTATTGGTCATTTTCACATTGATTGATTTCTTTCTTTCCTTTTTTTTTTTTAAGAGATGGGGTCTCACTCTGTCACTGAAGAGGCTGAAGTGCAGTGGCCCAGTCACAGCTCACTGTAACCTCAAACTCTTGGGCTCAAGTAATCCCCCTGCCTCGGCCTCCCAAGTAGCTGGAATTTCAGGTGGGTCCAACTACACTCAACTAATTTTTAAATGTTTTTTTAGAGACAAGATCTCTCTATGTTGCTCAGGCTGGTCTTGAACTCCTGGCCTCAAGCGATCATCCTGACTTGGCCTCCCAAAGCTCTGGGATTATAGGTGTGAACCATCATACCCAGCTGTTTTCACATTGCTTCTTAAGAGCTCTTTATATATTAAAGACATTAGCCCTTTTCCATATGTATTTTTAATGTTTTTTCATGGTTTGTTATGGTTTTCTTTTGATTTTGTTTCTGGTATTTTCTTCTGCTAAATATTTAATTGTTAGAGAATTAAATTTATCAAACTTTTCACTGATGGCTCTAGAACAGTATGTCTTGCTTGAAAAGGTCACTCCTCTTCCAATAACACATAAAAAATTATCTTATGTTTTCTTCTAGTATACTTCCATGTTTTTATGTTTAAATCTTCGATCTTCTTGGATTTATTCATTTTTATGACTTTATTGAGATATAATCACATGCCATTTAATACACCCATTTTAAGAGTAAAAGTCAACAGATTCTAGTATATTCACAGAGCTTGCAGCCATCATTTGAAATTTATTTTTGTATAAGATAGGAATTCAGCTTAATATTTTTTCCAGGAAGCTATTTAGTTTTCTTAACATCACTTATGGAACACACCATCTTTTTCACACTGTCTTGAAATACGCTTGGTACTTTTGATACATTCATTTACTTCTTACAACTGACCTCTAAGATTAGCATTATTTTTCCCATTTTCCAAATGAAAAAAATTAGGACTCGAAACTGTTAAGTCAAACCACATTGCCTACCAACAAGAATTCCAACAATAAGAATTTTTTTTGTTTTCCATTCTTAGTCTACTTTAATTCATTGAACAGGATTTAGAGGGCCTATTGCACACCAGCACTTGTGCTCAACATTAAGGTACAGAGAAGAAAGTCACAGGCACTGTTAATAAGGAGATCTAGAATGGGAGCAAGACAGACGAGGATAAAGGCAGGTGCAATACAATGGGATACAGTCCCCATTAAATACCTTTTAAAAGGTATTTAAAAAAAAAGCCTCTTGCATCTAACGTCCATCTCTCCAAATTCAACCTATGTCAATATCGAAGCAATTATCATAGTATGCTCAGGTAAAGTTAAACGAGTTTTTATGTAAAGTGATGAGAATGGAGTGTGGCACACAGTAGGGACTATGTTGAAGTATTGGCTATAGATATATTGATAAATAGAAAGATACACATATGTCAAGGGAGAAGTTGGCCTTTTAACTTGACATATTCAGAAAACAATTGCCACGTGCATTTTGCTTTGACTGTGGAAATACGGATTCATGGAAGCTCTCTATAAGCAGAGAAGAAACTTCAAAAGCTACACTGCTCAACATGGGAACGAGAGAGTAGTCACACCAAAGGGTCAATTGGCCTTACGTGGGGAGAGCGTACTAGAAATGGGTTTTTCTTCTCATGTGGTTGAATTTTTTTTTAAAAAGTAGTATATCATCTTTCTAGTGAAAAAATAAACAAGGATAGAGGAAAATGTTTGGAAGATGAAGCTTTAAAAATAACTCATAGCCAAAATAGAGAAATGTTCCTTTCTCAGTATAAAGTCTCTGTTTACTTAACAGACTGCACACCGGCAGGGGGAGCGCCTCTGTGTGGGAGGAAGCATGCCTGCACCTGCTGCGAGCAAAAGTTCAGTTCGGAAACTGAGAAAGTGGAGTCTTAACAATTCTCCTTTCTTCTTGTTCCTTTTCAACAGCCTCCCACATTTTCCCATAAGGAGCTCATGCTTAACTCTTCCAGCAAGAGTATATCTTTCTCAGCCTCTTCTCACTGGATATCCTGTTATTTCTAACTAGCAATTATTACCTGTTGACAGTACAATGCTTGCTGTGCAGTACACATTAGGAGCCGTAGACTGTGCCCATGGAGATGGTGCACATCCCAAACTCTCGATTCAGTCCTCACTCCGTGTGTGTGTCTCTGTGTGTTTTCCTTTAGGGGCTGTGGAGGAGGTATACACTGACTGTTCATCATAGAGACATTACAACAGGAGGACCCCGGAGCCTGCCTTCCATGCAAACATACGTGCTTTGTGTTTTGGTGATGTGACTCTGAACTTTGAAGGCCTCTGGGGGGATACTCAATGTAGTTCTAAGCAGTGCTGCAAGAGGCTAGAAGAAGTTTATGCTGACATCTCCATGAGAATAAAGTCACTATCTGTTTCAAGAAGAACAACTCAATTGGGCCAAACACTTCAGCCAATCCATTATTTGTGTCACAAATAAAAATTATGTACTTTGATGGCTCCAGTGATATTTTTACTAAAGCACTAGAATGTTGCCTGAATCTCAATGACTGGCTGATTATGTGGTACCTGTGGGTCTCTCACTAGCATTAGTACAAAGTGGAAAAGGCTTGCCATGTGACCTAGTGAAAATGTGATTTGTCCATCTACAATTTGGTACAAATCTGTGTGGACTTTGAAGATTAGATAGACACTTGTCACCTGCCTGAAGCAAAGGAACCCTTCATTGTCTACTGAGGTCATTACACATTGTGGTCAGGGCTTCATTTCCAAAGTCTGACCAAAATATTTCATACTAACTATAAGGAGCAAATCAGCCAAGAGCAAGTTAACTCCATTTCAGGAGTGGATGAACGATGGCATCAGAAGTGGGCTGCTTCCTAAGAATCTGAGGTGACATTACTATAATAAGGCAAGATTAGTCTAAATCCACGGGGAGCTCCTGAGGCTGAGGAACATGTGGGGTATGGCAAAACAAGATTTACTTTTAAAAGAAGCCCAGTTTCAGTTGTAGAGCAAGAGAAGTAGTTCACCAAGCAGACCAGCCCGTGACTCCCACTGTGAGACGTGACAGCCTGCAACAGTGGACTCCTCCACAGATGGTATCAGTCTGGTTTTCAGAGCACCTCAAAATCCCCTTGTGCGGAACCTGTTCTGCTACTTACCCTCTTCAAATGCAGTTCATTTGCACTTAAGTAATGGGGGAAGGAACAGGACTTGAAAGAGCACATGCTCATGGCATGTCCTGGAAGTTTCTCCTCTGTAAAAATGAAGGCCTGTTTTTCAAAAGCCCTAAGGTATCTCTTCCTCTACAGAGGAAATAAATAACTCTAATGAGGGTGTGCTGACCAAACCTGCACTTGTATTTCTTCAAAATATGCCTTACAAAATGAGGTTGCCCATTAGCGTCTCTTTGTATATAAGGAAATTGATAAATGGAGAAAATCCATTTCTCATAAACTGAGAAAACCCAAGAGATCAACATAAGACATTTAATTTAGCTATCCTGATGAGAAGTACAATATGGTTAGAACAACAAGCTATAAATTAAGATGCTATTCAAA